CCCCGGCGGCGGCACCGGCACCGCCCCCGGCGGGCTGACCATCCCCCCTGCACCCCGGGGATCCCCGGGGCTGCCCCACAGCGTCCCTGGGGAGCCAGGAGCTGCCTCACAAAAAGCCCCGGCTGCACCACAGCTATCTCTGGGGAGCATAGGCTGCCCAACAACATACTTGGGGAGCCCGAAGCATCCCTAAGGAGCCTGGAGCTTCCCCACAGCAAACCCAAGCTGCTCCACAGCATCGTAGGGAAGCCCCGAGTTGCCCCACAGCAAGCCCAGGTGACCTTGGAGCATCCTCAGAGAGCCTGGAGCTGCCCCACAGCCACCCCCAGGGAGCCTAGGCTGCCCTACTGCATCCCTGGGAATCTCGGAGCATCCCTGGAGAGCCCAGAGCTGCACCACAACAAGGCCAGGCTGCCCCATAGCACCCCTAAGGAGCCCTGAGGTGCCCCACAGGGTCCCTGAGGAGCCCAGTGCCTGTCCCCAGGGAGCGTGGGCTCAGCTCCACACCTGCCCAGCAGAAAGGAGCAGTCTCGGGGCCTCTGGCACTTTGTGGGGGGCTGCAATGTGGGGAGTCAGTCCCCAAGACGTGTCCCTGCACAACCCATGCCCAGGGGGGCTTTGGGGGCAGCTCTAGGGTCACTGCAAGCTCTCCATGGGCTTTTCCTCACGGAAATCTGCAGCAGCGCAGGCAATCGGAGTTATTGCCCAGCAAAGTGAGCCAGCCCAGCCAAGGAGCAATAGGCAGGATGGGGCTGTTGTTCTGGGGAAGATCGCGGCTACATGGTGGGGTTCAGGCATCTCTGGTGCATCCCCTGTGAGACAGAAGAGAGGGGACAGTGGGGTCAGCAGTTTGCGCCAGGCTGGGTTACAACATCTCCACCAGCTGAGCCGTCTGGACGCAGGAGCCCAGCTTGTTTTGAGGCCAGGCGGGATGGGGGCATGGAAAGGACAGGGCGCCCTGCCCCGAGACTGCTCCCAGCTCTAAAATTGAGGGTTTTTGCTGAAATCCTCAGCCCCTCTCCCGTGCACCCCCGCACACCCCCAAGCTGTCAGCTCCTTACATAAGGTTGCGTCTACGCCCGAGCTATCACAGGGGAAAGCTTGAAAACAGGAGGCGAAGGGTAACGGGGGAAACGCAGCCCCCCCAGAAGTGTATTTTTAGGCTTCTCGTGATGGCTCCATTCCCCAGGGAAAATGCCAAGGCCCCATCCTGCACCCGTCTGCCTGAGGAGGGGTGACCTCCCTGCTGTCCCCATCAAAGGGACCAGGCTTTCTAGGGTGGAAACTGCAGCCAGGGAGGGAAAGGCAAAGCCTTCCTGTGGCACAGGGAATGGTGGGCAGCAATGGAGCAGAAAAGGCTCTGGCTTTTAATTAACTGTGGCATGGAGTCATCAATGAATCCCAAAAAAAGGGGGGCACTGTGTGCTCCACAGGCTGCCAGTGAGCCCATGCCCATTAATTTGATTCTGTGGAGGCTGCAGGGACAGCAGAGAAGCTGGAAAAGGCAGAGGCATCCCAGGTACAGCCAAAAAAAAATCTCTAAACATGATATTTACAGCAGAAAACTCCTTTTAGGAGAAGGAGTCAGGATCTCAGCTTGCTCGGATCTTAAATCCACGCTGCCGGGAAGACAGTGGCGTTTGGTACGGGACTTGGCAGCGCCGCTCCTGCGGGTAAAGTCCTACGGTTTTCTTGTTTGGTTGGGTTTAGTTTTCCACGATGCACTTTGAGCTGCCGAGCGAAGGAGATTTCTCTCTTCTGGCAGCAGCAGGAGGGCGCAAAGGGCAGGGCAGGGTGATAACGGTGGGGAAAGGAGGGACGCCTCTGCCAGCAAGTCGGATTCTGGCTCTTCCCGCTGGGACTGTGGCTGTTCCCGCTGCAGGCAGCAGCTTCGCTGTGACGGGCAGCCACCGCCATCTGCAGCCGGCGGGAAGGGCTGGATGCGGCTCTTCCCGGGAAAAATAAGCTGAGGGGTTTGTGCCACGCAACCACGGTGGCCTTGGGACACTGCCTGGCCAGCCTGGTTAATGTTTAACGAGGAAACAACCCCTTTCCTCATTAAATTCACCGTTTCTCCAGGCGGTCGATGGAAAACGATTTATTTTTAAGTGTGCTGGGGCATGGTGAGCCCTTGGGGGGGATGCAAGCGGCTCTGCCTGCCCACAGGACGGAGCGCGGGGTCTTCCCCCAAATCCTGGGGACTGCTCCAGCCCCGGGGTTTTCAGCTGTTTCTACCCCAAGCTCCCAAAACAGGAGCTCCCCCACTCCACCCCTGTGTCTCTCTGATTGAAAGTTGGCGCCCTCCCCATCAAATGTTAATGGAAGCGTCATTAATTCCCATTACCGTACACAATTTATGGCAAAACGGGGGAGTCAGGGAAGGGAATTTTCCTTTTCTGTGTGAAAATTTGGGGTTTTTGGTACCACCTGTGTTACACACGGGGGGACAGCGGCGTCCGTCGTGACTGGTGTGGGATTCAGTGCAGAGTGACTCGATCCCACCCCCTTTACCCCAACCTTGGGGTGATTTTCCTTCCTTGGGTGTCTATGAGCGTAGCAGATCCCGTCACCCCACGTAATGATGAAGACAAATGCACTTTTTGTCCTATTTTATTATGTGACATCCTGTTTTCTCAAGCCAAGTGCAGAAATCAGCCCCAGCAGCTTCTCTTTCCTGTTCTCACATCATCAACAGATTTTGCAGGTGATCACGGCGTTACTTGCGTTCACTCAAAGCCCCCTCCCAACCTCTCAAAGCCCACCCTGCTCCGTGCGTCCCTGAGCCAAGCAGCAGCGTCACCCAAACTCTGCAGCCTCTGTGAAACCGCAAAGCATCTTTTTTTTATGCCCACAACATTTCCATAAACTGGGTATTTCAGTGAAGCCCAACGCAAACCCCCAGAGTCCGATTCTTAACAGAAGAGCTTGAAGCTGCACCTCCCAGCCAAGCGCCGCGTCCTTTTGTGAAGGATGCCCCCCAAAACCCTCCAGAGTGCGACACTCCTGACCAGCCACACCACTGCCTTTTAAAACCCAGCTCTGCACCCCAGGCGAAGCACCCCGCTCGCTCAAGCGTCCTCCCCTTCCCCAAAATCCACCACCCAAGCAGCAAGGCAAGAAAAACCCTCAGCGAGAGGCAGCTTCGATGCCGAAAGCTCCCCCCTAAGTCGCAAAACCTTAGCTGTTGTATAAGGGAACCACCCTGGCAATGGGCTGCCTGCAGATCGGGCACTTTTTGGGCACGGGGAGAGCCTGGTAACACTCATTGCAAGAGCAAACGTGGCCGCACTCCAGGAAGACGCAGGATTTGGTGTTGGTCAAGCAGACGACGCAGGCGTTTTTGAGCGTCTCTCCGCCCTCCGCGTTCGTTTCGCGCATCAGGCGCTCCTGGGCCTGCCGGAATTCATCCTGCAGCTGCTTGAGGTGCCGCCTCTCGCGGTGATGCCGGTATTGCTTCCGAAGGATGAAAAAGAGGACGGCGCAGGTGGCAAAACCGAAAATGACCGTCAGGATTTTCCAAAAGCGGACGTTTGATCCTTGTTTTTGCAGCAAGGAGTCGAAATCCATGTCGCTCAGGTAGTAGGGCATGCCCTGCTTCGGGGGCTGCAGCTTGATGGTGGTGTTGTCCAGGACCAGCTCTCCCACGCCTGTCAGCGCCGTGCCCACTTTCAGCATCTGCTCCGTCTCCTGAATCCCCTTCGGGCGCTCTCCGCTGATGTAGTGGCCGATGACGTCGGTGAAGGACTGGACCGAGGGGTGAAATTTCTCGTACACCGTCTCCAGGCTGAGCTCGGCGGCGTCCAGAGGCTTCATCACCCGCACGGTGCCGGAGGCTTCATCCCCCGCACGGTGACCCCGGCGCCTTCCTCCAGAGGCAACAGGTCGAAGGGGACGGTGTTGGTTCGCTGGTGGATGATCTTCTCGTAGTCATTCCTGGGGAAGGAGAAGGGGATAAAGCAAAAGCAAGCGTTACCACCTCCCCCAAGGCTGGAAGGGAAACGCAGTGAGGTGTGACCTGCTTTTTGGGGGGACTGTTGGCTGTCCTGTGCCCTGAGCGACATTTATTTGGATGGGACTCACTGGACAGGGGCACCTTGCCTCTCGTGGTGCTGTCTGGGTGTGCAAGAGGCTTCTGCCCTCACCTCAACGCTCCCACAGTCCCCACGGAGGCATCGTGGGCTTCCACTGTCACCAGGAGAGCGTTTTGGCCCACCTAACCCCCCTCATCTCCCCATGCCATTCCCGGCTGCCAGAAACCGCCCTGCGGGGAGGTGCACTGCCTGCCACACACGCAGATTTGGTGAGCGTTATTCGATCAGCTGAGGCTCAAAGAGCTTCGCCACACTTTTGTTTCAGCACCTCTCATGGGCCTGGCTGCTCTCAGGTGTGGATATTGCCCAAATCGGACTGAATTTCTGTAGCAAAGGCGCAGTTTTGCTCAGGAAATACCGTCCCCTGGCCACCTCCGTAACTACAACGTGGGGCTGCTGATAAACACTCTGCCCATGCTGGGTTCCTCTACGTCCTTGTCACCTACAGACCCTACATCAACTCTGAAAGGAAACAGCCAAACGCACCCCGTTTCTGCAGCTGTAACGGGGCTGCTGCAGGGTGCAGCTCTGGGGCACCTGGCTCACTCTGGCTACACCAGTCTGAAACCCAGACGTCTGTGGGCACCAGGCACGTACCAGAGGTGCGTTGTTCGGTTCCACACCATCTTGTGCTCCTGCAGCGTCAGCCTCTGAACGACGCCCTTGCAGTTCTCCACGAACTGGCTGCTCAGGGTCTCCTTAACGGACTGCACCACACCTGGAAGACAAACCCGAAGCGCATGTGAGGTGCTCGTGAAACCTCTGCTCCGTTTCTTACCACAGTGGGCAAGATGTGGGTGGCAGAAGAGGCGAGAGCCCGTGTTTTGAGGCATCGGGATGGCCAGCGGCTGCCTGACAGGGGGAAGATAAGCAGATGGGAGCACAACCGCGGGGCTGGGAGTGAAATCCACCCGCTGAGGGGGGTAAATCCGTACCCCTGTCGTCCCCACTTCGGGCCCTGCCCCTACCTTCGATGACCGCGTAGG